CTCACACTCACACTTCCAGCAGAGGTTCCTGAAGACAGTGACACCTAAACACATGTGGGCCCTCCACAGACACAGGTGCAGCCCACTTCATGTAAACGTTGCTGCCTTTAGACTAGCTGAAGCCAAACATCTCAGACACGAAGAGCGTCGGTGCCCCGGTACCTTCCCCCGGCTCGGATCCCTTATTGTAAAAGTCCGCCTGCCCTAGTCCTTCATCATAAAGGAGAAAGCACAACCTTGGGTAACCTCGCTCCAGGGTCGGGGCTGGGAAGGCTGCAGGATGGTGACCCTTTCCTCTCGGGGTCTGCATCCCGCCCGCAGTGTGCTGCGTGGTTTTCCTTGCCACTAGAAACTTCCAGGTCCTCCCTCGGAGGTATCTCCTGCCCAGATGCTTTGCACACCGGGGTAAGCACCAGGAGCTTGCACCTGTCCCCCTCAAGGCCTCGCTACCTGCCTTGAAGCTGCTCTTCCCAAGATCGGGACCCTTTCTGGGAGTGGAGTGTCTTCGGTACTCACTTCTAAGCCTTGATGGCATTCTTCTCTCTCGTTTCCATTATTGGTCCCTGTTTGTAGTAGAGAGCTTTTCTCTTGCCAGATCTTTAACTTCCACAGTCAGATGACTAAGAAAAGCCAAGGGCACTAAAAATGGAGGGCACTCAGAAACCCCAAGGACTTCATGTCTAGCGACAGAAGTTATGTCTGAATACACCTGTACCAACTATGTCTTATGGAAGCCCATCCCACTGCGATCCTCTTCGTCAACCCGAATGAAATTATTTTAGGTAATTCACTTCTGTATTGGATTTTCCACGGACTTTATCATGATACAGTTTCAGAATCATGTAGTCACTAATATGCTCCATGCACTATCTTATGACTTGCATGGAAACTGGGCATTTATAACAATTTTTTAGTTTATTAAGATGTTGTCTACAAAAAACTAGCCAACATATTAAACATTTCTACGTTGAACAGTTACAAAGAGAATGAAGATAGTCCTTCTCCTAAAGACTGAATTCAGGGGGTACAGGACAAACCCGTGTGTGTGTGTGTGCACGCACATGTATAATACATACATACATACATACATAATAGTATCAAATAACAAGGTCCAAAGATCACATGTCCTCAGATAACGTTTTCCAAACCAGAATATACTTTTTGTTTTAACCTTTGCTGTTGAAAAATCATACTGTCATGTAACATATTGGCTTACAATTTCAGTTCCCACTAGAGTGAGGTTCTCCAAATGTGTGTGTCTTTCTTTACATATATATTTATTGTATTTGACCAATCACTGCTGTGAAAAAGATTTTAAAAGAAGGAAACTGAACTACAAATCCCAGTATATGTATAGGAAGTTGCTTTAAAAATATTTACTAGCTTTTTTGTTGTTACACATAGCTTTCTTCTCATAGCAAAGCTAAATTAACTTTTCAGAGTCACAGTCCATCAAGACGTTGCTGCCAGCAGGTATAAATGACTCAGTACAACAGTAGACAGCATGTTGCACTCGAGGCAGTTTAAGTCCTCACCCCAGCAGTGGCATTTGTCATAAGTTGACAAATAAAGATGCTGTGACTTGATTACAATACAAAGTCAGGGACTAAGCCACAACTGAAACTTAAAGATAAAAATTCAACATGGTTCAGGATATTGCTAGTGTTTGTAGGTAATATATTTAATTTGTAGGAAATTGTTCAAAGACAGAGAAGAACAACATAGAGATGATCAAAATTAACTGGGTGTTCTCACAAAGGTCCCTGAGTTAACTACTTACTGATTCTGGTAAAATTCCTGCCCCCTGACAACAAGAAATTATCAACAATCATACATTCATACAATTGAATTGAACTAGAAATTGGCCACAGGACTAAAAGACATCTACAAAGGTAGTCATCCAGCATTATGACTCCCAGGAAAGAGGGTCTTTGGAACCCTTTAAAATCAGTATTCCTTCACATTTCTGGTATGACTTGTTAAAATTTTTCAAGGCTAAAATCATTATATAGATTATGTCCTGGTAGTGGGGTCTTAATTAGAAGAAAATGTAACTAATTAACAGAAAGTGCCAACTTAAAAAATCATTAATTGATTTTATTCTATTGGGCTGTACTGACTTAATTAGCTCTCATTGGAAGGACTGTTAATTCTCCTAAAGAGCTTTCAGCAAGTGCTTATATCTCAGTAATTATCTGAGTGTGGACAATGATGTAACCAAAACCCAACTCAGCGAGCTAAAACAAAAGAGGGTAAGTGACTGAAATCCTAGGACTGGCTGCAGCTTCAAAAACAGCTGGATCCAGGAGACCAAGCAATATCGTCAGAAAACTTTCTCTTTATATCTGTTATCTCTTCCTGCATCTCATTGGTTTTGAAACTAAGAAAGTCTCATTTTAGTCATCCCAAATTATTTTCCTCATAAATTAGCAGCTACAGCAGAAACAGAGCTTCTCTTTCCTAATAATTCTAAAAAGCCCTGGAACTGAGTCTCAGTGGCCTGGCCTGGATCACATGCCCAACACAGAGCCAATCACTGTGGCCAAGGGAAGGCAGCACTGTGATTGGCTAGCCTGGATCACATGATCACCACTGACCTGCAGAGGAAGTGAGATATCTGGGGCACAGAGCCTAGAGGTGTAATGCCCCAAAAGAAAACTTAGATATTCATACCTGAACAACGGCAATGAATCTTAGACAAGCAAAATGACAGGCATCCACAGTTTTTATCTGTAAATGTTTAGTGTTACTATAACCATTAGAATAATGATTAATATTTATCTCACACACTATGCATTTGTAATTCTCTTCTTTATCCCTGCCGACATCCTTTGTGGTTATTTTCATATAAGTAGAATGAAAACAGCCATCTATGCAGCTATACAGACCAGCACTGTCCAACAGAAACATAACGTGAACCACAAATGTATTTTAAATTTTTCTAGCAGTCACATTTAAAAAAGAAACCCGAAAATCGCCATATGCGGCTACTGAGTTGGACGGCACAAGTACAGATAGTGAACCAGGAAACTTCTAGTGAACAATGGGGGAACTTGAGACCTAACTTTTTCCGAACTGTACCAGATAATCATTCAGATTCAACTTCACTTTTTTTTTTTTTTGGCATAGTCTCTAAGAATTACATTGCTATAGAAACTGAGAAAGTTAAAAAGAAACTTCCCTGCTATAATTTCAATCTTTACATTATCAGGACCAACCCAGATAAAAACAAGGAGCTGCTGTAAATGATCGGATCTTCTAAATCCCTTTCTTCCTTGCCTCCCAAGGATGTCAGTTTACATGTCAGTTTCTCAGTGTGAGGAGGGGGCCTCTCCAAGCTCATTTTTATTTGTTATTCTCTCTCAGGGTACTCAGATCTATTTTTCCTCTGTAGCTCTTAGCACAATTGGTAAGCATATGTTTATTTAGATATTTATTTAACCCTATATCCTCCCTCCCCCCATTAGATTATAATCNAAAAGATGACTTTCAAATCTAGTAGGATCTTTGACCAGTGTCAGCCAAGATCTGTTATCTTCTCAAGAAAGGGGAGGTACTCCTCAGGGAATACCAAATTTTCTTCCAGTTGATGTACTTTAAATACATTGTAGATTTGGTACAATTTTTTGTTTACATATCGTATATGTGTGTGTACTAAGACTGCTTGGCTTTTCTCTACAATAAGACAAACTAAGTTTTTTATTATCACTAATATCTAGCCTTTTGTCTGAATGAAATTACTGCAATGAAATTAGAAATTAAAAAGAGGGTCAAGAGTAACAGCAATGCTGCACATGCATGAAACCACCAAGATAAGCTAAGCTATTCTGGAATCTGCCATATGAAAAGATGATTACTACTGAAATGACACCGATTAATGAATTCATCATTTAATGACTAGTCAGCCCCCATGATGTACTTAGAAACATGGAAAAGGGATGTAACATCAAAAAGCATGTAACAGCCATCTCTTTCCCAGTGCAGACAATATAAAATCCAGCAATAAATAACCTAGACCAGAAACCAGAACATAAGACAGCCTGTGATATGGGCCAATACAAACGGCAAACGCTGTAACAGTGAATCCACGTCAGGGCTAACACATTCAGTGCCAGCACTGTGACAGCCCTCACAGCCCCATCCATTAGCCAACAGAGGCAGTAAACTTCCATGTGAGCTTCAGCAACCATTTGTCTGCCATCCAACCCTCAGTCCATCGCCTCCATTAAGAGAACTGAGCCTTTGAGCACAGCAGAGCCTCTCACAGTATCCACGATGCTGTTTTCAATGTCATTCACTGATCAATTCCAGAAACCTTTGGAGCCCCAGCCATGCGAGCACAAAGCCTTTAGCTAAAACTGCAAGCCTACACCAAAAGCACCACCCATGCACTTAATCTACTGGAGGGCTCTTTACAATGAGAGATTCTGACTTAATTGTCTGTGGTGGGACCCCGTGGTCAGCATGACTTGTAAAGCTTACCAGTAGGCGCTACTACTGGGTTGTCGGAAAAGTCATGACGCATTTTTGCAACGAAAAACAGAAAAAAATACATCATGGCTTTTCCAACAACCCAATATTTAGCCAGAGTTGAGAACACTGAGCTAAAGGCTTTTTAAATAGGCTGTGTTATGTTGTCACCAATTACATTTAAACATTTTTTATCTTTGTTCCATGAAAGTGCTCTTTCTTCTTTCAAAGAATGTTACTCTTTTTTTTTCTATTTTAATTCCCGTTTCCATGTACCGTATCTCAATACCCCAGTTTATTATATAGAAAATAATCAAATGTGGAGAGGGTGTGGGAGAAGGCATGCCCATGCCACAGAGGCCTGCATTAGGCTGATCACTCACACTGAGTGGCATGACCATCATACTCAGGACGTAAAATTGTAGTCCGTCCATTATGACTGGCACTCTGGTGAAGTTAAAAATGTTCTTATTTTTGGAATAGTGCAAGAAACAGTAATGAGAGAGATGGGGGTGGGGAGGATTAGAGACACTTTCTTCCTCCCCTAAAGCACCAGGCAGTATCCTGCAGAAAATTCACCACCTGACCCATCAGGAACCCTGAGGAGTGGCTGCTCTCATATCAGACGCAACCAGGAACCGTAATGAGTAATTTTCAAAAACCAGTTAAAGCTGGTATAATCATTGTGACAATAACAGAGACACTCATTGCACATATAACTTGAACAGTACACATTTAAGTATACATTCAATTACAATCTTTTGATGTAGGCTAGGACTTTTTAAAGAAANTCTGGCCACATGGACATGAAGTTTGCACTGTAGGCAAGTCACCAAAGGAAATATGGCACACGGGAAACATGGGATGGAGGGAGCATGGAATAAAATAAGGAAGTGCGTTTGGCAATTTGATTGGCGAAAGCTGGAAAGCTGATTGCAGGACCCAGGCTACAGCTGATCAGAAAGCAGCGAGACAGGGAAAAGCCTGGAATTTGCCCCCATCCTCAGCTGTTGTCCACATGCTTTAACAGAGGTTGCTATCCTGTGATGCACTACAGCATTGCATAAATGCTGAACAGCAACTTAATAAAAACAAACCGAAAATGCCTCAGTGAGGGTTGTTTCTTCTAACACAGCCTGTCCAGAAAACTCCACAGCTGAAAATCCAGCTAACCACAATTCCCAAATAACCAGTCTACAGTACACTGTAAGCCACAGGGATGAGTACCCGAGTGACAGAGGGCTCACGGCTAGACGTACTGTTCATTTCGAAAGGACACTTTCTGAACTCAGGCGGTCATGATTCCACCAGATTATCAAACACGTGTTTTTCTCCCCCAGTCTCAGGAGGCCCAGGTGCTGAAACAGTTGGCAGAGAAGAGGGAGCACGAGCGAGAGGTCCTGCAGAAGGCTTTGGAGGAGAACAACAACTTCAGCAAAATGGCGGAGGAGAAGCTCATCCTGAAAATGGAACAAATTAAGGAAAACCGTGAGGCGAACCTAGCTGCTATCATCGAACGTCTGCAGGAAAAGGTAAGCGCGACAGAGCCTGAGCAGAGGCTGCGGTCACACACAACATGGCTGGGTGAACTCTCCAATCCGGCACCACACTTAGGCAGAGCCTGTGCCCACCGAGGAGAGCTCAGCGCAGGCAGGCTCTCCCAGGGCAGCACTGGCCAGGGGACAGAAACAGATGGGGACCCAGATGAAAGCTAGAGCTCTGTCAGGCTTTGCAGTGGTGAATGGACTCAGGGAGGCTGCTCTGTGCTGTCCCGATGTGTTAAAGACTGCTGGTCAAACCTTCAGAACCAGTCGACGGGAGACATTAAACTAGCAATAGTAAATACTTCATACATATCTAATATATAATGTTTAATTTTAGTTTAACTTTAATTAATGCATAATATTAAATATGTCGATATTAAGTTGGGCAGATGTTTGTCAGGGAAGGATAGAATGTTTATGGACGGCGGGAAGCCCCTTCTCCCCAGGTAGGCACTCGGCTGTAATCACAGCGCATGGCACTAAAGGGAAGGGAGCTAACGGGCCGTCCANGGTGCTCAGCAGTAATGTGCGTCAGTTGTTACAACAGCAAGATGGAGAAGAACATTACGTTGGATGTGTCAGTTCTAGAAGTACTTTGCCTTGACATATGCTTGTGTCAGCTGATCATTAGTATGCCCTAATTTTCTATTTCGGTGTTTCAGTGACCTTCGAGTCAGGTATATGCTACTCAGAAACGTTCCTCCATGGCCAGATCCTTTTCCCTTGAACAATTTATTTTTAACAACTTTCAGCAAATCCCACCTCTCCAATCTCCCCGTGAGTCAGTGCACTCAAGATTGCTTTCTGCTAACCTACCCGAGTGAGGTATAAAGGGTACCTACTCGACCTGTAATGAGAACTGCCACTGAAACAAAGGCAGATGCTTCCGCTGCGCTACATTTCATTGTTATCTGCATCCTCATACTCATTGCATGTCATCTTTTTGTACAGTTTTCTGCACTAAATGCTTATCTGCTCATTGACAGAAATACTGGAACCAGAACCAGTTTTGTGCCTATGACTGGGAGATTAAGCTAGATTCACGAGAATCAGTGTCTCCCAGGAATAAAGTTAGAGAAGTTATCATCAGCAGTGTCTGGACGCTAGGCTGTGAAACAGGGAAAGAGTCTGACTGTCTGCAGCAGTGGTGTGACAGCCACCTCAGGAACCGAGTGAAGGCCCTCCTGACTCAGAGCTCCCCAGAAGAACGTATTTAAGAGTTGAGCATAGAGGCGGAAGCACCAACAGAGAGACCCATAAACATTGTCTCGGTGAGGAATGCATTTCCTAATCAACTCATCGTGTTGTTTCCTCATGGACTTGCGCGTCAAACATGTGAAACACAGATTATCATTAGGCCCTACCAATGCACGAGTGGAGACCATGGTGGCCGCCATGGTCCCTTCCAGTGTAAGGAAAGCAGCATAGACGTGAGCGGTCTGAGTGTGGCAGGGCTTTGGCATGTGGCAGTGGCTTCACATGAGACCACTCTCTGCTGCCTTCTGTTTCCACTTCACCCCGTTAATTGTGCTAAATACCCGTGGCTGCAAAAGCAAACACAACTCCAGTACATGCAACAGGCCCCTCTCTCCTTGGCTGACAGTGGGGCCTGGGGGGGGGGGGNCTGAGCACCTACTACTTGACAGGAACTGTACTAAGCACTATGGAGTCCCTCATCAACTTTACCTTTCAATGGGGCAGAAACAGTTAATAAATAAGTGTATGTCAGATGATACTGAGCATAAGCAGGACCAAGGGACTCGGCAGTGCTGGAGTGAATGGTGCTATTCAGGTGGGGTGGTCACAAAAGGCATCGCGAATATGAGGACATCTGCAAGGAAGCATGAAGGCAAGGAGGGAGTCATGGGACTCTTCTCTGGGGTTAGGACATTTGAGGTCAAGAGAATGGCAAGTGCAAAGGCCCTGAGGTAGGAGTATGCTAGGACTGCTTGAGCAATAACACAGAGGACAGTGTGGCTGAAATATAAGAAGAGGAGGCTGGTAGAAATTGTGGGCAGAAGGGAGCAGTTTAAGGACTTTCACTTCAAGTGAAATGGGAGGTCATTAAGGAAAATAAAACCATTTCACTACTTGATGTGAACTGTGGCATCTTTTCAGTGACTAGAAAAATAAATAGTGTTAGACAAATAGAGAAGACATGAAAGCGTTTGGAACTAAGAGAACAGTTCCAGCACTAAGTATGCCCAGAATGAGAATGTAGAAATTGCGTTTCAGGGCAGTGGGTAGACCCGCAGTTTGAATTAGTGGATCTGGGTGGGGAGCAGGCGAGTACTGAGGCAACGCTGGAGAGGGCATCGAATGCCAGGTGAGAGGCTCAAATTCCATTCTGTAAGAAACGAGGAGTCACTCAAGTCCCCAAATATGCAAAAGTATGACCTAGCCAAGTGGTCAGCCCCAGTTTCACTGCCCTGGATCCATTTCTTTTCCCATACAAGTTGTTTAAGATTCTGCTTGCCAAACATACTACATGTAAAGAAGAATTAATAAATTCCTTTTGTCATGGTTATAATCAAAGGAATCTATAACTGTCAATTAATATCTCTGATTAGCCTAAACTAATAAGCATTTTCTCACTAGACTGACATAATTCTAACTCAAAGTAAATGTAAAGATAGACGTCAACACAGAGGTGAAATATGATTTCTGCTAGGGCTTTTAAAACATGAAAAAGCATATGAAACGCCACCCCTCTCCATTATGGCCTGCTTCTGGGAACGCGGGGACCACATACATCTGGGAACCAGTGACTGAGGCTGCGCTACAGGGTCTTCAGCTGGATTTTCAGCTGGAAGGCTGCCATGGAGGCGTCTCCACGTGGACCTGAATTCACTGTGTTAAGGGTTCTGGC